ATTGTCCCCACAGTGTAGCAAAAACAAGGGCACACACAGACACACACAGACTCACACAGCCATAAAAACACACTGGGTTCATGAAAGCCCAAGTTTCCTGTTTGGTCCTTTCTTCAGGGGAAAGCCTTCGGACAGATGCTGCTGGACCTGAAGCTCACAGGACTGCCGGACCTCAAGTCTCTGGTGGACTGAGACCCAGAAACAACCAAACAGGACTAACGTGAGACGTTTGACCTCGGCGGGAACTCAGACGGAGAAATACTGAAACCAGATCACGTCCAAGAATGAAAGCATTCAACCGTGCAGGACTTATAAAGATGTGTTTTTAGGCTTTAAATCAGTGGTTCCTGACCTGTTGTCCTTTCCTTACTTCCATACAATCACCTGAGGTGTCCCTCAGGGCTCAGTTCTCGGGCAKACTCTACATTCTTGCGCTCAGTCACATTATCACTCATTACAGGATTCCATTTCACTACTATGCAGACGACACGCGGCTCTATATCAGATCAGACCATCAGCAGAATCAACTCTTCACTCTCAACTGTCATGAGGAAGTAAAAGCCTGGACGAACGTCTGTCTTCTGCAACTAAATATGTCAAAAACAGGAGCTACTTTAGTTGGCATCAGATTCACTCATCATATTTTCTGACCACAACATTCCTCTTCCCTCTGTAGTGACTCATTTTTGTGTAAAATTTYACACATCTTWCATTTGAAATTCACATCAAACACCTCTGGAAGACCTTTAATCTCTACATGACTCTTCTTTTCTGTTTCTGAAAAACTTGTTCACTTCCCTTTTCAGACATTTAAGTGTTTAAAATATTTTAGTTTTTGACATTTTAGCTTTTTTTAAAAAGGTTTTTTATTTTTGTAGCGCTTTAAAATCGAAAACTGTAAAGTGCAATACAAATACAATCAGTTCTTTTTATTATAAGTATAGTCATTGTTGCTAATTGCCCACTGAAACACACAAGGCAGTTGGTGCCGGTTAAACTATAAACAAGATAAAATTATTTATTCTCTCATAGCATTCATACAAACAAATTTATAAACAACACATGACACAATATAAACTATATTTAATTCAGTCTTTTAAAATCCTGGAGTCAGTAATGTATCAATATTAATCCAAAGTGGTAGCATTGTGCTAATTAGCTYCTAATATACAGTCTAAACCCCATAGAAACCAGCTAGCATAATGCTAATCTCTCCAGAACAGTCATGCAGGAAAAACACATTACTTCTATAGTTTACGACACAAAAATAAATCTGAAGTTACACAAATGTTTAAATAACTTACCACATCAGGCAATGTATTTAACTGTAAATGAAGAAGTTTTCTGAAGTTAATTTCATTCTTTTATTGACAAAGTCACCTCCGGTTTCCACAATGTCACAAAAGTAAACAACCTATAGAGCCCCCTGGTGGGATGGACACCCCACCTCTACCAAACACACATTAAACCTTTATCCCTCTATCAACATATACATGGAWTATTTATAAACTTTTATTTTGAAAGTGCAGAAAGAGAAGAGCTTGTTTTGGTGATTTGGTCGGGAACCACTGCTGTAAATGAACCTCAGCAGGTTTTAGTCGGTCCTCCTTCAGAACCTGCTGACTCAGCAGCAGTTTCAGGTTTGTTTTTTACCTCTGGTTGGTAAACATTTGGTGGATGACTTGTTGACCTCAGGGGGAGCTGACCTGAGCTCCTCCCCACTGCAGCGTTTCACTTTCAGACGTTTGGGTTTGATATGAAAGCCTCGTTCACCTCCATACGACCCGCTGGTCCGCGTGGTGCTGATTGAAAGCAGACTGGGACGGGATCGGACCTCCTTCCATCAGCTGCTGCTCTCTTCTCTGAGCTCTCTAAGAAACATGTCAGAAGAAAAAACCAAGAACCAGAAAATGTCAAACATAAAGAGTTTATTTTTTTGAACCACATCAGACCGTCGGCCCACAACAATGAGCCTACAGCTGGCCTGTAAACAAACAATCAAAGACTTTGGATCTCAGTAAATCTGAGACGAATTCCTCCAAAACCAGACCATAAATCAGGACTGGCACGGGTCACATTTCTGTGACTTCACAATAAAATCTTTGAATTCTTCCTCCTTTCAAACCAGAAACCACAAGTGTTTCCATTTTGCATATTAAAGAGGAAGAGGATGAAAAGGAGCGCTCTAGACCCACATCTGTCCTCCATTTGACTTCTGAAGAAARGGCGAGATGTTCCAAACACTTTCTGGCATCTTTGAGTCATTTCTGTGTCGTGTTGGACTTTTCCCACAGCCGCTATCTGGGTCAGGTTCTCAGACTGGGAGCTTTTCGTTTGGTTTTTCCTCCGACCTGTTGCTGTTTCACTTCCTGCTTTTCTTTACCAGCTCGGGCATTTTCACCAGAGCTGGTCCTCGTTTAGTGTTTGGACCTGAAAGAAATGATTGAGTCCCATTTGACTTCAACAGCCTCTGTGCCAAAAAWTATTTCATCTATAATTTATCAGCTTACCTTTTGGAACCTTTATTAGTTTTTGTCTTTTGGTTGTTGCTTGAATAATAAGACTCATGGCTGAATATCAGCTAAAGRGCCATGTTTTGACTTGTTTTAAATGACTTCTCAGTCATTTGTTTTGTTTGTGTGAAAAAAAGGCTGAAGTTACTGAAGTGAAGAGTTTAAATTTGAATGAAAATGCTTTTGATGGAACGTAAAATGGTTTATTTCCCTCTAACATCACATCACCACTCACTAGTTGTTTTGGTTTGTTTTATTTTCTGTGATTTTCTGTACATCTCAGCTTCAAATTGAGCTATTTTGTAGATAATGAAGAAGATAATGGTGCATCTAAAGCTGAAAACCACTGCTTTACAATAAACTGTAAAAACAAGATGTTTAAAAAGAATTCCTCACTGCTGTTGTCTAGCAGAAATCATCTTTATAAAACCCTGTGGTACTCCAGAAATGTGTTTTTTTTTTTTTAATCGTCTAATTAGATTTTTTTAAACACAAGCTGACTTCAGGTTGAAGAGTACCCGCACTACTTTCCTGTTTTTTGTTGTGTGTTTCTTGAACTGATCCAACTAACAGTTTTATTTTTTATCCCCTGCACTTTAATCAGTCTGAAAACATTAGTTTCTCCTCCACACGAGGCCTTACTGTGGAAGAGAACTGGTTTTATTGGATTTCTTCTTTAGAAACTTGAAACTTATCAGCGTTTTTCAAACCAGTTGAATTATTTCTTTGAATAGATAAAATGTGAAATCATTGTAAACTCCTGCCTGTTTTGCTGTTTAATCATAACTGAAGTTATTTTTATAACAGTTTTACACATTTTAATGCATTTCTGTATGAACTGATTTTATAGAAACTAAAATGAAAGATTAAAAACCTTTTATTACCAAAAACCAGCTGGTTTGTTTGTTTATTACAGGAAGKTGATTATTTATGATGGTGGTGTTAAAAATATTCGTGTTCAAAGACTGAAGTCATTAGAAAACCACCAATGTTAAATAATATGATTGTTAGACGAGATGAAACCACACAAAACCAGAATTCTGGAGTGAGGGTTTATTGCCATTCGGATCTGACAGGAAACCACACACTGCCGGCCAACCAGGAAGTTGATCCATTTATACAGAGTCTTCAATGCCCACTTTCGCCCCCTACTGACCTACGGCTGAATCACAGGCATTCATACACCATTCTCACCTACATGTTCTCATAACGGATAAATATGTGTTGTTATAGATYTTTCGGACATGTAACTAATCTACATCAATCAACACATTATAGATTAACCATTATAAAAAGGAAAACCTAAAAATATAGTGTTGTGCTTTTAACATCAGTACTAATCTGTAATAACTATACATTTCTTCAGTGGTATTAATATGTAAAGTTTATTATTAGTGTTTTGTGTCCGTTGTCCTCATCAGGATGGATAAAAACTGGTCTGAAGTTGAGCTGCTGCTCATCAAACTGTGAAGATAAAGTTTGTAAATAACAAACAAAGAGTTGTTATTTTTGGTGGTTAAAACGTAAAGTTTGTGCAGAACAAACCCAGGCTCTGGACCAGGACCAGGACCTGTTTGGATGGGTCTAAATGAGCCCGCAGACTGTAAAGCTTGTTTCAGCACTGATTAATCCTCACTTAAGGCTGCTTTAAAACGCGAGCAGAGCAATGCCTTTTATTCTGTGTGATTGATTGTACTTCTGTTGTGAAAGTTTGTTAATCTTCTGTGAAGGCTCTTATTGTGGCGGGACAAATTTTCCCTAGAGGACAGTAAAGCTTGCCTCACGTTCTGGTTATATTAAATCTGGTGTCAACATCAGCCGTGAGACGTGTTTGTTTGTTTCACATAACTTCCAGTGTCGGGTCTGATCAGCCGAATACCTCATGACGTTTATCACTTTGAAACGAGTCAAATGTGGTTTTATCTGATGGTTGTACACTCAGCGTTGTGAATAATTAAACTCAGTAATGCTTTGATGGATTGTTCCTCAGTGTCAGGCGGTTGAAAGTCTCCCTGTTGTGCTGTCGCTGTTGATAAAAGGAGATAAATGACATCACATCGGTCATTTTTCTGCAGTCTTTCTGCTCGTTTTGGCGTTGGTTTTCTTTTGTTTGTTTCGTGAGATTCTCCCAACGTTTGACTGCCCTGAATATTCTTCTGTTTTCATCACGTGTCCCTGCTAAACCTTTTAAAACGTCTGGGAAATCTACGTCACACAATGGAAAATTGTCAATCCCAGTAATTGTGAGCAAACAACCCCTGACACATTTATACTGGTCAGTGACTAAATGCTGATGGTCTCTGAAAAACAAGAGTTGATGAGTTCCAGATTCCAGCAAAGAGAGCTGACTGTTTACAAAGAGAACGTGCATCGGATGCAAAAACCTTTCAAATGTTTCAGAAACATCATCTGTAACTACAGTTTGCATTTCTTGTGAAAATGCAGAGATATTTGCTGAAGCTGAAAAGGTTTAATAGCAAGCCTGTTAATGCTAATAAAGAACAGATGATTTTTTCTAAAAGGACAACAACAAATGTAAAAAATGAGTGGAAAGATAGCAAGAAAAAGGGTAAAAACATCTGAAAAGAGCAAAAAAGTAGCTAAAGTTAGCAAAAAAATAAAGCTAATGGTGAATTGATAAGTAGTTTCAGTTTGTTTAAGAGATGAAACTAGCAAAACATAGCCAAAATCATAAGTAGCTAAAATTAGTAAAAAAATAAAAAAAACAGAAATAAAAAAAAGTGGCTTTCAAACCCCAAAACACATTACGGCAAAGGCTGGTTCACCCCAAAGATCCGGTGCCCCGGCACAAACAGAGCAATGTTGTATATGCT